TCTCAAAATAATGCTTTTTTTCTGATTAGGAGATTTCATTATGCAAAGGTGTTTTCTAGCTTGAAAATAAGCGTTTTGAGATCTAGGACAAACCAATAGCCTCTCCTGAGTTCTTCCTAGGAAAAGATAAGTGATATTTGTGATGATCAGCATAACAGGAGCATCATTGTTGGCTTTTGAAAGGACTTTTAATTATGGGCAATGGAATGATGGAACAGAAAAGTAACATTTCAATCTGGAATGGTAGAGAAGTAAAGGCTGATTACATCTCTTTATATGCATGCTCAGTGAGCCAGCCTTATTCCCTAAGTGGTAGGTAGCATATTTATTTCTATGCTTTTATCCTCATAGCCCCTGCACAGCCATACTGGAGTATGACATTCAATAGCCGCAGTGCTCCCATGTCCTCCCATACTCGTGTGTTATGGTTAGAATTGTGAAATGTATGAGCCATCTTTTCCTTACTCTTATTGATTGGAAGTTTACAAAACATGGTGTTTGGAATATGTTTATGCACTTAGCACTGCAAAAGCTATGACCCTGCTCCCCACAACAATGCATAAGAGAAATATGGAAGGATTTCATGGGAGACGAGAGTGTTGCTAAGGTGTCAATTTTGAGGAAGAGTGAATTACTCCTGAGATTAATTTAGAAGACTCCTTCTAGGCAGTGTTTGCATGTCTTGTTTCTTGTGGCTGCAGAATTACTTATGCTTAGCAAGAAAAGTAGATTTTTGAAATTACCCATAGATTTATTTCCAAGGGCACAAAATATATTTTTTCAAAAAAGCACACTTAATGTAATGTTGATTTAAAATATCAATCATCCAGAAATCTGAGCTGCTATTTCTCAATCCTAAAAATGAAGCATGTGAGTTTGAAGACATTTCTTTTAAGGTTATTTTGGGATATTTACAAATGTCTTGTTGTGTATTGAAAATGAAGAGGAGTTGTAGAGAGAGCAGCATAGGTGGTTAGAATTAGGCTCAAGTCAAGTTGTAACCTGCTGTGTAACCTGAGGTAAGTAATTTTACCTCTTTGGGCCTCACTTTATCTATGTAATAAAGTAGTAATTAGACTAAATTTTTTTCTGCTGTTGTTTTTTAGTTCTATGATCATGTGATTTTTAAGAGATAAAAGATCTCATTTTATAATTGGAAGAACCTAAAACATCTGGGTTATGACAAAATTAAATATCAACTCATGCAGTCATGATTCCCTGTGGGAAAAACAAATTAAGTGACAAAAATAATAATAAATAGGACTTTAACACAAGGTTTGTTAGTTTCTGATCTATCGTTCTTTCAACAGGAACTAGTTGTATGCACTTTGCCCTAAATAATAAGAGAATGGTTCTCTTGACCTCCAATTTTTCTGCTAGTAATTTCTAATTATTCTCTCCATCACCTACACTGTGAACTGAGAATCAGATCTCTAAGCATAGGATTCAGAACAGATGGTCACAACCAATAGAGGTTACCAATCTATTCTGTGTTCAAACAAGTGCAGAACTTCGTGGTATAGTGTCAGCTGGATACTTGGAGTTAATGTTACCTCTGATCACTTTCATTAACCCTCATGTTTAGCTGGGATGAGCTTTGGCTTTATTAACTCATTTACAGAACACTGCTCACAGACTTTCGATGATTGCTTAGGTTGTCAAGTGCAATGCTGTCTGGCTTCATGACTATCCCATACTGTGAAAACGCTTGTCCATGGGGCTTTTAAAAATGGACTTCTCACCAATGTGGATATTCAGTTCAGCTAACACTCTGAGCCTCATTTTATTTTATTGAGGCAAACATGTGGATCACATCGGTAATATAGATTGATTTAAAAATATAATTATATCTTAATTTATCATCGCCCCGCTACTAAATATTGAGCAGTCAACCTGAGAAAATGTTGATTTTTTGGGTTTTTAATTATATTTTTAGTATTCGGGGGCATAGTTTGTCATTAAAATGCAAGACACTTTAAGAAACTCAGGGCTACTCTTGTGTGCGTTGCTGATGTGAATGTAAAATGATATAGCTACTGAAGAAAATGGTTTGGCAGTTCTGCAAAAAATTAAACAGGATTATCTTATGATCGAGCTATTTCATTCCTAGATATATACTCCAAAGAATTGAAAGCGGGTACTCAAATAAATACTTGTACACCAATTTTCACAGCACTATTATTTACAATAGCTAAATGGTGGAAACAATCCAATGTACATCAACAGGAGAATGGATAAAGTGTGGTATAAACATGTAATGAAATATTATTCAGCCTTAAAAAGGAATGAAATTCTGATACATCTTACAACAATCATGAACCTTAAAAACATTATGCCAAGTGAAGTAAGCCAGACACAGAAGAACAAATACTGTGATACTATTTATAAGAGATACCTAGAATAGGCAGATTTATAGAGACGAATAATAGAATAGAAGTTAGCAAGGGCTGGGAGAAGAGAAATGAGTTATTGTTTAATGGGTGCAGAATATCTAGGATGATTAAAAAAGTTTCTGGAAATAGAGTGGTGATGATTGTGCAACATTGTGAATGTACTTAATGCTACTAAATTGTGCACTTAAAAATGGTTAAAATGGCAAATTTTGTTACGTATGTTTTACCACAAAAAAAAACCTCCAAAGAAAAAGAAATGTATCTAGTGTCGAGGGGTTACTAGACTTATTAGGGGGATCACTTCGTAAGTTACATAAATGTCTAACCACTATGCTGTACACCTGAAACATACTGAATGTCAACTGTAATTGAAAAAGAAATGTAGGGTTTGCCCCTATTTTTAAGAAAAGGTCTTGTACGCATTTTCAAATCTTCTTTGTGTTTGACCCTATTTTTTCTACCTATTTCATAGTTGCTTTATTCCCCACAGAGAGCTTCTTAGTGTGGGCTCAGTGTGCTTGAAGTTGCTCTGGTGGATGTGGTTAGGTCAGAATCCTCTAGTAGTTTTGCTATAAGCAGCCTTACTTCTTATGTTTGTTAAAAACTTTGAGGGTGGGTAGGTGGGGGGAGAGGTCGTTTTAAATGGGAAAACAATGCATATTGGACTTCCCATTCCAACACAAAGTGTGCTTTTGTGGCAAACCAAAAGACTAGGAATCAAGGGTGATGAAATACAGGCCTTCCGGCCCGCTGTCTGTTCCCGATTTCTGGTTGTGGGAATCTGTTCTGAATCCCACTGCAAGTGGAAAACCCATTTTTGGCTGAGCAGCCAGGGAGGCCCTCCTGCCAATCCCCCAAATTTGCTGCTGAAACTTTGGCCCTGTCAGGATGGAGCTGAGGCTGTCTTCCCAAGATCTGTGCAGCTGTCAAGGTGGCTGTGATGGGACTGTGACCGGCCTCTGCACTGCATTTTGGCAGTGACCTTGAGACCTGCCAGCTCACAGCAGCTGTACTTGCTGGTTCTTGCTCTACTGCCACTGGTGCCTGGCCAGGGGGCCAAAGGGAGGGAGCCAAACTCCGCGGGTTCTGCAATTACCAGCATCTGGCAAGTTCCAACTCTTGGGGCCCACCTCTCTCAGAGCCTAGTACACGCTGGACATGGGGGCAGTCAAGGTGTGTGAGTGTGAGAGGCCGCTTGTTCCACCTCTGGCTCAGGTCCCAATCCCTGGGAAGTGGGTAGCGCTGTCTTACCATCAGCCTGGGGTACAGACAGACTCCACGTGGGGACCGGCTTGGCAGCTCTGCTGAGAGATGCTCAGTGACAGTTGATGATCTTGGGAGACAGAGGAGCCTAAGGTGTCCCCTTGGTCCCAAAGGTATGTGTCTGCCTTCTGGAAGGAAGGGATTTTCCTTTGGGAAATGAAGGTCATCAGAAATGTCCAGAGCAAGAGGGAGAAACCTTTTCCCTCCAGCCACGCAGAGTGGCAAGTGTAATTTGAAAACTCCTCCCCCTTATACTTTGTCCTTATCCTGTCATTTTCCTTTTTAGTGGCTTTATTATTATTATTTTTAAACCGCCTTTGTCATTGGACATTTATTGACAGAAATCAAATTGCTGTGTTTCTGGGCAAAGCGCCTGCTGCAAAGAGGTGTGGTTCCCGAGGAATGAGACACGCAGCCCAACAGCTGAGCCTACGCTGTCCTCACATAACCTCCCTGCCTTAAATATCGCCAATATTTAGCCTTGCCTTATAAAGTAAAAATGCACAATACCTTCCAGAGTTTCAGCAAGCCCAAATGCCCCCCTCGGCTCAGTTATATCTCCTGTACGTTAGAGGCAGGGCCGCGCACCCCTCCCCCGCGCAGACCTGCCCTCGGAGCCACCAAGAGGTTACTAATCAGGGAGACTCCGCCATCGATCCGATGGCGGAGACCTGGGGGATTTGTGTGCATTGTTTTTGCTGAAGCCTCCTGTGAATTCGGCGCGACCAGATCCTCTGCAGCGAACTCCATGTCGCAGCTTGTGGCTGCCTGTGTCCTGTGGTGAGAGCGGAGCCACACAGGAGATCCTTTGTCTAGGAAGGCTAGGCAGAGAAGATCACTTTGGAGTTGCTAAGCTCTGCATTGCCATTGGCTGCACTCTTTGTGGGGCTGTTTTTGCAAAAGGCATGCCCAGCACGTCTACAGTGCTGGCAGGCCAGGACTGCCTTTAAACACCATGATAATAATACCAAAAAGCAGTTTGCAGAACTGTTTCACTGTAGAGGCTTCCTCTGCAGAAGCAAGCAAGCAAGATGGCTACCTCGTGGGCTTCGCTGTGAAGAATGCAGAGGCTAATTAAGACAGACTTTAAGGGGAAAAAAGGGTATTTCCCTACTTCATCTTTATGCAAGGCTTTTTTTCAGTGACTTTTAAAGTGTACATTTTACATAAGCTCTTTAGGTTCTGTCTAGCAAACATGTTGATGATTTTAAATGGTATAAGTAGTTTTCTACAGAAATAGCCAATATTTTTTGGGGGTGGGGGTGAGTGGGAGCTAATTTTTTTCTCAAACGGAGTCTCCTTTTGCAATTTGCTTTTTTTTTTCCATTTTTTTTTTTTTTTTAGGTTATAAAGGAAAACAAGAGGCCCCAGAGGGAAAAGAAGCCCAAAGTTTTAAAGGTAATCAGCTATTGATTAAATCATTTGATTTTTTTAAAATTCCATTTCATATAGTATTTTTCTGTCACTTAGGGGTAAATTTGGAGTACAGTAGATGTGGATTCTACTGGATTTTCAGTAGATAAATTAATTTTCACTCAACTAAAGTGTTTTGTCTTTTTTTGATGTGCTGCATAATGTACATATTAGCATCCTTTATTTTCAACTCCACACAAGTCTGCAGAAAGAAAAGTTTATATGCAAAGTGTCGTGAATTAAATTTATTTTTCTTTGCAGCTCCCTTTGTAGCAGCTGCATTTGTGGTGTTGCACCACTATGTAAACTTAAGCTCTTAAGGGGAGACACTGTTTGAAGTTGACAGCTCTGATCCATTGTGATTTTAATAGACCTTCCATTAGATACAGTTTTAAAATGGGTGACTTTTGTTTCCAAAGGAAAAGGTCTTTAGAGGTTTTCAACTTAAAATGTGTAAGTCATTGAGATCTTACAGCTAAATTATAATTGCTTAATCCCAAATTCTCATTATATCATCTTTAATTTTGGCATTCATGGAGCTGTAGGAATTTGCATGTTTCCTTTATTTTCAATAGTTTGCCTTATGAGTATTTAGTAGTAACCTCATTCAGTTATGAGCTAGCAATCTGTGTTATGAGCTTTGCACAGTATTTAAAATGGTTAATTTAAAAGCCTATGACATTACTAAAAGTTCAAGGCTACCTTTAGTCTAGCAAATAAATAGGTGCTTATGTGTTAAAGGTTTCAGGTAGTGTATTACTATTATAAATGTAAGTAACCTGAATAAGCAACCTTTTTAATTCAAGAAGACATATTAAGCAATAAAACTATGGTCTTGAAAATTATATTGTGCACATGTAATTGAAAATATTTTAACCTAATCATAGCTTTCCTTTTGCGAATAAAGTTTTAGCACTCAAAGAGGAAGAACATGTCGAACTATGGATGTGGCAAAATTTTATCTCATTTGTTTCCACAGTGTATACCTTGAAAATGTTATTGACATGGAGAACCACACCTTGCATTGCTTTCTAATTGGTCTGACCACCTCCAGTTTCTGTTTTCTGTGTATACATAGAGCATTGCCATGTACATTTTTTCATCACCCAACAAGTATTTACTTAATATTTACTACACAGTCATCAGTGTGCTAGCTAGGCACTGTGAAATGAATGAAATTGCTTGGCGCAAATTCTCACTTGGCCTCAACAGATAGAATACTGGTTATTTTCCAAGTAAATTAAACTCTCTTCTTTTTTTTTCCCCCCCTGCTTGTTGATCCACCTATCCTACCCCCAACCCAACTATAGAAGTATATCATTAGGAGCCCTACTTAGGTGTTTTGCTTTAAAATTTCAAGAGAGAAATAGTTTTAGTCCTGCTGTTATAAATGGATTTCAAATTTATGGGAGGCAGGGCTGGGGCATAGGACAAAGGGATAGAGTTCATGGAAAAACTAATATAGACTTAGCTTGATAGCTGAATTGTCACCTGGCTTTGCTAGGAAGTAGAATTCGGCTTTGGGAGTACTATTTAATTCTATGTTTATTTTGTTAGTCTGTGGGTGTCCTGTCACCTGAAATAAATTTCAGAAGTAAATATACTGTGTGTTGCTTTTTTGAATCATGGCTGTGCTGTGGACTCTGACTTTTTAAAAAATAAGTGCCTGTAGTAGTTGAATTTCATGTGCCACAAAGTAGAACGCAATTATTTTTCACTTTCCTCTATAGCTGTCAATTGTGCAAGAGTAGGAAAATCATCTGAAAGGAAAAAAGAAATTCTGATTTTGTCATTTTTAAATGTGTTCTTTAATATTCTGTTGGGCATAATATTTTTTTGTTCTTCTCTGAAGAAATCTTTGTTTCTCTGCTCATTAGTAGAAATGCTAACATACTTGGAGATTTTAGTTTGATATGTGTATAATGCAAGTTAGAACAAATATAGAATATTATATAACCCAGAAGGAGATATTAAGAAAACTAAACGTTTTTGGGAGGAAATGTGCGGGAAGAGTACAGCCTTCAGTTTAAGGTTTTGTGGATGAGGACTTAACATTCCAACTGGCTGCTACCCAGGCCATCGGTGGTGAGAAGATACAAGTCACAATTTGGTCTCCTTTCATAATTCTCTCTTTGCCTTTGGCATTGTGCCAGAGAACTTTCTTTGACTCAGGACTCTTAGATCTTCCAATCTCCTGGGTACCTTGTTGTTTGTCAGGGTAGAGGCTATAGGTATCCTGATGAACTTTTTTTTTTTTT